AAGTTACATTTGCTACTTTAGTTTCATCATGTCATGCTTAACATTCTTTAACGCTAGAAAAATAACTCTCGCGATAGTGGGTTGAAATTTAAGAAAAAAAGTCATTTATTCATTTATCCAAATGCTTCTGAAGATGTTGACGCAAACGACGAAACTTGGACTATTTATAGTAAAGTACGTTTACATTAGGATAAAAAGTTTCATTTACTGACTCGATATACAAGGTGTTCCTTAACTGCATTTCATAATAAAAAGGGTGTTTTTTTTAGAAAGAAAAGTGTTTCTATAGACATAAGTTTCAAACGGTTTAGTTTTCAAAACACGAAGTGTTGAAGTTTTTGAAACACGAACAAATATATATTATAGAATATACAGTGTGTCCTTTGATTATATTCCGAAAAGGAAAAACTTTTTTTTCCAAATTTTTATAAAAATTATTGTTTTTCAGTTTAAAAAATTAAAAAGTAACCACAAGCAAAATACCCATTTTTTTAAATTTAGAGGAGTGTCACTAATTGTAAGAGATGCTAACAAATTCAAACAAGTAATAAACGTTCCAATTATTTTGCAAAAAAATTATTCATCTCTAGGGCTGCCAGAATTGAGCCGAGGGGTATAGGCGTACGCATTATATATTAAAAAGCAACAAATTAAATTGTCTACAATACACCACCATAAACACCAACGGAGAGAAATTAGTTACTCAACATCCGCACGATAACAAAGCAACAGCATACTAACGTGACGTAAACGTGAAAAGCATTCTGAGCCAGCGGCTCGCATATGTCTCGGTTGATCCGCTTGGCACGCCATTGAATTGCGGCTCTCTTTGATAGCTCTACTCATCACCCATTTTATGCTGTATGGTTTAGACACACTGACGATTAATGAATATAAATTAAAAAATGGTAATGAATTAAGATCGGGACTTTCGGGAGATCATAAAATATTACTGCATTTTCCTGTTCCATTATTGAATTACGAATCAATCAGTTGAGTTATGCTAAATGCTAAATTCTACTTGGTGTTACAACCTTAGAATTGTAGACATTTTGGAAAATCCTAACACCCTGAGAAATATCAAGAACACAATACTATTGCCAGTATTATTGCCAGTATTATAATACCAAGCTGGATTTCATTTAAAATAACTCTAAATACAATATATCTATAAAGCAATATCGGAAGAGTACAACTTTATGGTCTCCTCGATGTCCTGATCTGAATTCAATGGATTTTATTATATATACATTAGGGTGGCCCAAAAAAAACTTTTTTTTTTCGTGTCTCTTGTGAAAATATTTTAGTTTATCATGTTTTAAGAGGTCCCTCAAAATATCAGCTCAAAAAAATTTTTTTAGAGGTCGCTCAAGATTTTTAAAAATTTCCGAAATCGTCAAAAATTGATTTTTTTTTAAATTTTTTTTCTCGTTATTTTATCATTTTCTAGGTTAAAAAAATCTAGATTCTGAAAATTTAAATCGATATTTTAATTTTTAAAGGTCACTCATAATTATTTTAATTTTCAAAGTAGTGTACTTATGTTTTCGAGCGACCTCTAAAAAACAAATATCAACGAACTAATAACTTTTTATATTGAATTTGATGAACAAAATAATAGAAATAAATCACAAGAGATTTAAATTTTAAAAAATTTAAAAATTATAAATATTTGATACTCGGTGCGGTGAGAAATTTTTTAAGTGTCCCCGTGATTTATTTCTATTCTTTTGTTCATCAAATTCAATAAAAGAAAATATTAGTTCGTTGATATTTATTTTTAGAGATCGCTCGAAAACATTTTAGATACACTACTTTTAAAGTTAAAATAATTAAGAATGACGTTTAGAAATTAAAATATCGATTTGAAATTTTTTAAATCGAGATTTTTTCAACCTAGAAAGTGATAAAATAACGAGAAAAAATAAAAAAAAATTAAATTTCTGACGATTTTGGAAATTTAAAAAATGTTTTTGAGCTGATTTTTTGAGGGGGCTCTTAAAACATGATAAACTAACATATTTTCACAAGACACGAAAAAAAAATCGTTTCTTTTTGGGCCACCCTAATATACATACAATTGTCACAATGCCGATGTCACACCAATGCCGATCCCTCCATATTATTCCTACCTGTATTTAAAAGTTAAAAGGTTTCTTCTATTGTATTAGAAAATAGGAGTATTTTTCGATTTTTTTATTTAATAAACTTACCACACAGCTGAATACATGGAAAATAATTCTAAAACAATTAATTTGTCCAAACAACATTACAGGAATTTTTTTGTTACAAATATAAACACAATATACTTAATAAGAATCTACAAAAATAATTAAAAAAATCATTGCAAAATTTTGAATTTGCTAATACTAAGGGCAATCCGCTAAATTTTTCTGACTTTATAATTACATTTTATTTGCCATATTTATATTTTTCCTATTTATATTTTTTTCGTGAAACAATATCAAAATTACTTCCAGTATAGATATTCATTTGCGTGTGGTAAATTTATTTTATGCAAACAATTATAATAACTTGAAAATAATTCATTTTCGAATCAAATGAAGATCGTTTTTCTTTAAAATGGAATTACAAATAGACCTACTGAACGTGTAAAATACCCAGTGGCGTCGAAATTAAGGGGTTTTTAGAGACCGTATTTGCTAACATCTCCGCCAATGCTTGTGTGTGCTTCATTAATTCATTTTAAATATTACCTACCGAGATTTTTCAAAAACTTTCACATCTTTTGTCTGGAAAATTAAGCTGATTAGGACATCAAGCAACTTTTTTCCTTAAAATGACCTAGTTGTATTATTATCGGAAAACCTACTGAAAAAATCTCCAAACATCTTCAAGACATTTGTAATTCAGGTACCTAGACGCCTAAACCTTCGAAAGCTTATGAAATCCTAAATTTGCATTTCTGAATGTTCACCGAGTTAACGATATTATTCCGTGAAATTGAATTAATCGGTACTTTTGAATTTAATCCTCTCTGTACAGGATAACCCGGAACTGACAGTTGGCCGCCATTCCCCTGGAAAACGGAAAGAGCAATTAGGAAACCGCAAGCGGGGATGTTTATTCTGTGATCTCGGTAAGTGAAATTAAATTAGAAAAATAATACCGATGACGTCACAGCTCTTGGGACGCTAAACTTACCAATATGAGATCCTCTCTTGCGGTTTCCAATTTACTCTCTCCGTTTTCTTGAAACGGCGGACAACCCTTAGTTTTGGATCATAAATATTTCTAAGACAATAAAAGGGTCTATTCATAACAATTTCGAAGAAAATATAAAAATTATATTTCAAACATCAAATAAGACGAAAAGGTCTCCAGAAATATCTTCCACTCCATCACCTTAACTTTTAGAACTCAATTTGGGACACTCTGTACATGGAATTTTCAAATGTGTTGATGAATATGCATTTACTACTTTAACTAACAGGTTATTAATTTGGTTAGGATCCGATATTGGTTCAATTTCTTCAAATACATCTAAAAACATTCAAGACAAAGTATAATTTATGGATATTGGGCACACCCATTTCTATAATTTCACCGGAAAAAGCTGAATTTTAATCGCCTGCTTAAGCGGACGCCGACGTACCTCTTATCTAATTTATGATAGTGAAATGCTAAGAAGAAATTCGACCCGCATAGATCGTAGGAAAGAAAGCAGATTTACTCCGTTTCTACGCAATTTGAATAAACAAGTTTCATCTCACCGGGAGGTTTGGGAAGCCTCGAATTCGCGCGAATCATATACCCACAATCTTGGGTCAAAGAAATCATAAACTATCGCCGCATTTCACCCGTTGAATCAGACATCTCGTGATGTTGTGTTACATCACTAATTGTATCACATCAATTATAGGCCAGCCGGCAGGTTTGCAAACGTGACCGGAACAAATGACGTCACTCTTGAAAAAGTACCTTTCTTGTAAGAGACAGCATCAGTGTGATGCATCCCTCTTACCAAAGAAAACTTTTGAACGACAGATTGAAAAAAAAAGTTAGTTGGTGCCTGAGAATTACGGAAAAATGTTCCTATGTATCTCAAAAAGTAAAAGCGATGCGGGCCAATAGAATGTAATAATAATAAGTGTACAAGATTTGAGTTCTGTGTCTCAAACGGTTCCTGAGATATCGTCAAAAAACTGAAAAAAACTTTTTTTGACACCCTATATTTCGAAAACGGTGTGTTTATTCATAAGAACTTTTTTTCTTAGAATGAACCAAAGAATCACCCTTCATTTTCCGACATATGTATTTTTCGACATGTTTTTTCAAACACCCTGTATAATATAAAACCTTCATTGAATAACTATATTTACCAGATCTGATAGTACCTCGAATATAAAGACCTCTTGCAATTGGAATTTGAAAAAGTTCCATGAAAATTAAAAAAATTCCTTGATATTTCCCTAATATTTTCAGATTTGTGAAATTCCCTATTATTTCCTGGTTTTCCAGCATTTCTAGATATATCACCCAATCTAAATACTAGCATACTGGAACTTTTTCTTACTGAAGTGAACAAACTGAATATAAGAAGTACCTAGACAGAAACATTATTTTATATGAAAACTGTTAAACATTCATATAGCGATTACAACAGAGAAATTTATTATTAACACAGTTGATGGTACTAACAGTGGAACTGAATTACATGAGTAAACTTTTACATTTACTATATTTACGTATTAATCATTTATTAAGAAATTATTGTACATAAGGATGTACTACTATGTATTATAATTATGATTAAAATAATAATAAAATTTCCAGTGTCAATTTAAAACGTATTCTCAGATAAATATTTAGAATATAATTCAGCACAACCCGTTTATATTTATTGCTTATTTTATGACCTAGAGGGAAAGCAAGCAGTGCCTCCTAAATATATCAACGTACTTTATCTGACAAATGCTACTAAAACTTAGGCTATAATTTTCACTATCGTTATTTACAAGACATAAATTATGTTTCAGAAGGACTCGACAAGGCGATAGGATGTTGTGGTCCACGGTCCCATATTTGTTCCAAATCGTCCTGAGCACGACAGGACTTCATCCCCATTACGATATATTCTTCGACCATATTCCCTCGCCTTCATTCATAGGAGGAAGTCCCCATAGGCCGTATATACCTGGCAGGTTAGTAATAACCATGGCGTTGAGGGTGTCACGTGATACACGTGAAAATATGACATGCATTGACGAAATCTATCTATCTCTTACTACTAAGTAAATTTAGTTTGAACGATGTCTTTTACCCCAAAAAGAGTGACTAAAAGTGTATCGAATATAAGGTACAGCAGAAGGATTGAAGAATTTTTATGAAAATATTTCAGTTGAAGTTTCAATATGAAGTTTCAGTTGCTTTAATATGTCTGAAAAGATGGTTACAGCGTGTGTTCAATTGACAAATATTTCTTGCAAATATAATATTTTTTTATATTTATTGTCTTACCACAACAATACGAAGAAACATTTTTGGAACCGCTGACTATATCAAGATATCTGCCCGTGTTTACAAGTATTGGTTCAATCCTATTAGGAAGTAGCAGTCCTTTCACGAAAACATAATACAATTAAAAATAGGAGTGTTACTACAAAAATAGAACCAAATAGCGGATGACATGCTATTTACGACCACACTATTGACCTCTTTGTATGTCTAACGGGAATAATTCCAGAAGTTCTCAATAAATTTTAACAATTTTGATTATTATTACTTTTAAGCATCGTTTTGTAGTTTCAACGGTTTGTATTGTTAAAAATGTTTATTATTAATGCATTCTACCTACCATTAAAAACCTCCAACAAGTTTGTGAACACCCTGTATATTTAACTATTTTCGATCTATTTCATATAAAGAAGAAGTCAGTTTATTAATTTTTTGTGATACCGGCAACAATGCATATTTGATCTCTCTTTCAGAATAGATAAATTATTTTATATGTAAGTATAGAAGTGGTCAGTGGTAAGTTTAAAAAAAAAACATCAATTTAATTATATTATTTCTAATTGTTTGGCCAAAAGCGTGTCTTACACGCTACTGTTTAAAATATACATGTATGTTTGTCTTGTAGATAAAAGCAGTGGCGTAACAATTGTTTTACAGTATTTTTTTTAAAGAAATCTAACGGCTGTCTGTCATCATGATATTATCGGAATTTCAGGAAATATTAGATAAATAATTGCAATAGTACAGTAGTCTGGTATACAAACAAGGCTAACTACGTTATGTCTCATAAACATGATTTATCTGATCTTAACATATCCTTCTTGAATTGCTTGTAAGAAGTAAGCTGAAATTATGTGTCTTGACTAATAAATTGTCACTTTAAAAGGTATCTAACATAACGATATTTTTTATTCATGTTTGTAATAATTTATAATATAAAATGCGACAAAGCAATCACGATTGATTTTGCTCGACATTATATACAGGGTGATTCATTAACAATGGGAAAGTCGAAAGCTGAAGATACTACACGTGAAATGGTGACCATTGGCGCAAACATGCCTTATCCGAAAGTTGACAGTTTCGGAAATACAGGGTGTTGAAAGTTAAACTTTTAAATCGTTTTTTTTTGCGATTATTCTGAAAATATGTAGGTTAGGAACTTGAAAATTTGTGAAACTATATTTTTTTAGGCGACGAATAAGATGCGTGTTGTAATTTCACTATTGCTCATAGAGGGGGACACTTACTACCAAGTTTTTTCAGAAATGTTGCTATATCTTAAAAACTAACAATTTTAGATAAAAAAATTTAAAATAAAAGTTGAAGTGGTCCGATATGTGAATAAAATAGAATAATAAAATACAGGGTGTTCAATTTGAAAAATTTTAGAAAATCAAGTTTAAACTTTCTAAAAATTATAAAAAATGCCCTGTATAAATATCGATATTAGCTAATACAGGAGCCTTTGTCTAACATTTGCCTATAACTCTGTCTGATTATTTTGTTCCAAGTGTTAGTAGCTGAAAGTTAATACAACTTCTTCGAGGTCATGTTTTTTCCAAAAATTTAAGGATTTTCTACATAACTTGGCAACCCCGCAGTAAAATGATAAACTGTTTAATATTGCCATATATATATATAATTTTCCCGGAAAACCATATATTTCAAAATATACAGGGTATTCCATTTAAAAAATTTAATCTTTGGCGTGTCCCGTTTTCACTCATCGCCCTGTATGTTTCAAATTAATTTTGTAGTTTAGGTTTCTTGATTCTGTACAACTTTTATATAAACTTTTTTTCTGTATTATGAGTAACAAGGGAGTTATTTTACATTCTCACAATAATGACCCACCTTGTATGTAGTTTGTAGCAGTAGTTACTAGATACCAATAATTTTATAAAACAGTTACGTATTTGTTTGTCACTTTTGTTTTGTATAAAACTCGGAGTACCAAATACTCAAAGGATTTTTAGATATTAGTGTCTCATAATACCTACAGTTTTCAAACCATAAAAATCATAGAACAGAAAAGAGCCCAAAAAAAGTGAAAAGTAAGGAATGAAACGTTAAAAAGTACATTCAAAAAACAAGCCCTTGAACCGTAGCGTAACTCGTACTGGAAAAAATCGATTTAACTTTTGATTTAGTTGTAAGTTTGAAAATATTTTAAAATAAACTTTAATATGTAGAATATTTCTAAGACATACCTATGCATTACTTTTTGTAACACAAAATAATAGTTTCTCTATTATATCGATTTTAGTGTCGATTAAAAAAAAATGAGATAAATTTACTCGTTTCGATAAAAAAATTTTTTTATATTTCCTTGAAATCAAACTAATTTTGTCTTCTACAGTAAAATAGAAATAATGATAATACCAACATTGACAATGATGAACATTCCGTCAACCTAATCTCTACCGCTCTTTTTTCACTTTGAAGATGATAAAGACGAAATAAAAAATCATATCATAAGAACAAAGACAAAAAGTTACATGAGTAGAGTACATAACACACAGTTGTAATCAAATGTCAAGAAAGTAGTACAGATTTTATGTAACGATGGGTGCCAGGGAAGCAGTCGATTTAAGGCCTATAATTATTTCATAACTGTACCAAAGAGGTTACAGCACCATATAACTTAATATTTATTATACAGGGTGTTTCAATTAAAACTTCTCACCTGGAAAATATCGGAATTAAACAACAAACAAAACCTGTCGTATGTCGTTGAGAGCAGAATTGAAAAACCTTTAAAACGAGGTGTCACTCAACATAGGGTGCTATTTAAAGTTTAATGGGATATTTTACGCCCTCCCTAAGAGGTAGCTTCCAAGACACCATGACCTACGTCATCTTGTGCCCCCCTTGAAAAGAAAATCGACGGTTTTTTTTAATTCCGATATTTTCCAGGTGGGAAATTTTAATTGAAACACCCTGTACAAGTGATGGTTACTTTTTCGGAACACTAATAAAACAAAAAAAGTTTCTTGAACAAAACAAAAGACAACTCTGTGTGTTGAACACTTTCATCAGGATAAATAAACCCCCAATAAAAAATATGTTACTCCACTGCCATCAATATTTCGACATGTTTAGAACATTTTGTTTGTCTTTTAAGAATTCTATTAACTTCTATTTTAGTCGGCGTTTTGGCCCCAACATCGGTCCGCGTCGTCCAGCAAGACCATCACCAGACGATCCCTCTGGAATGGGATGCGGCACCATCCCCAACGGTTGTCCTCCCTCCAGGTACAGAAGTTACGACGGCACGTGCAACAGCCTGCGTAACCCCGTTACGGGAACCCCCAATGCGCCCTACACCAGATTACTGCCCCCCAACTATGGAGACGGTAATAATAAGTTTTTTCCTAGTTTTTTTTTGGATAAATACATTCATTTTCATTTGTTAAGTCGATTTAACTTTAATAATGAATTGTAAGAGGAAATACAGTCCTTACGATATTTGTGTTGAGATAGAAAACCAAGAAGACCCCTGCGTCACTCTCTTGGAATTAACCGCATTCGACACCCGAAGTAGAAAAAACATTGAGGGAAAATTCTACCCCACAATATTGTACGGATGTGCATTGTACTCGAATAATACCCAGCTCAAAAATCAATTGTTCATCTTTGGAAAATGTGATTATAAGTATTATAATGTTCTGACTGAAATGTTAAATATTTATTTTAGGCATTAGTACCCCTACGATAGCAAGAAGTGGAAACCAACTTCCCTCAGCTCGTACAGTTAGTTTACTGGTCTACCCTGATGTACTTATAGTAGATCCACAATTCACCCTCAATGCCATGCAGTACGGTCAAATAATTACACATGACATGAGCATGATTGCTGGAAGTACACAAGCACGTAAGTATCCTTTTTAGACAGAAGTGTAGAGGTGTCTTTTTTAAAACTTGAAACCGTTTTTCCATAGCCAATACCATACCAAAATTGACATAATTTTTTTGAGTTTACTTAACACCAGATTTCGTTAATGTTGTTAGGACTACACAACGAGCTAGTGGTTTGAAATCAATGAGGTTAACGTATATAGTAAACCTAAAACAATGATTCCCAAAGTGGTCTATATCGACCCCTAGGGGTCGACTTGGAATTGCAAACTGCAAGGAATCCATGTCAGCGAAAACAAAAATTCGGGGTGCATGAGATGTAGGTAAATGGGGGTCCATCACGAGAATGGATCCCATTTAAGCAGGTCGTGACCGAAATTTTGGCCTTTCTTATTACAGATTTAAATTTATGAAGTAACTTGTAACTAAAAACTTGCACTGTGGCAGCTGTCAAAAACACATTTGAAGTTGATAAATTAGAACAATTTAACATTAGGCCAATCAATAGAGGTTTTGTTTGTGACAAAAATACTAGCAGCAAACGGACTGTGTCATCATATAAAGACAGTCTGTAGATTACTGATCTGTGGTCTGTAGATATATGCTTATACAGGGTGATTCACAACTTATCCAAAAAAATTTGGGAATAGATGCGGCATGAGAAATGGAGTCGTTATCGTAAATTTTTTTTTTGTAAAATCCTTAATAGTTTCCGAGAAAAAAATTATTGAAGTTATAGTACATTCAACCACTACATAGCTGGACAACTGTAGTCTCTAGCGTCATTCACAATACGCCTGGAGAGCCACGTGGCCTCAGCGACTCCGAATACTGAAATCCGCTTTTGCAATCGTCGCTACGATAGTGTTTATCTGTTATCTGTGGTGTTTACAATAGTTTTTTAGTAGTTAGTATCAAAAATGGTTTGTGTGTATAGCAACCCGGAGTTGATGGATATCGTTTTAATTTATGGCGAAGCATTTGTGTTATGGTGAAGCAAGACAACATTTGTGTTAGTTCGTAGAAACTGAGTAAGACGGACCCAAATGCTTTTACACATTGGTGGATAATTTTGAACAATTGTTGTTGTAACATCGGGTATGTCAAATGATTTTATTTTTTAAAAGCACAAATTAATTTTATTAATTAATAAAGGCAAAAGCAGTTGAATTTGCCGATACAAAATAGGTGCTATAAAATTCTATTTATATATTTCTTTCTTTGCGAAAGTTTTTGACTGTTTTTATCACACCGCCATGCCGGTCGCATTGTACGAGGTCAGGTTTTACAGTGGACCAGTTTCCAGCGTCGTGCAGAAGTGTATTTTTAAATCATTTTCGAACTGCCCTTTTTGAATTTTTCTTTACAAAATTGTATTTGTAAGGGTCCCCTGTACATCCAGAATTTTTTTTTTGGATAAGTTCTGAATCACCCTGTATGTTTCCTACTCCAATTTGTCCGTTTTTTTCAGCGTGAAACTTTTGGTTAGGCTTAATAATACGCTAAATATCTTTTACACCAACATTGATCAATTTGTAAATAAATGTCGGCAACTAAAACTACTCAAAATTTGGCATGACCTTAATAGTTAAAAGTATAAAGTTCCATAAAAAAAAAACAAGCGAAACAAGCCTGCGGCAAGAAGATACTATTATAAATGTGCTACAATGCCACAAGATCTTATGTAACAAAAAAAAAAAGTGGACTCACGGCTTTCACTACACAACTAATGCATTTTAACTTCACATAAATCATAGTTTCTCGTTTGACATTTGCATTAATGCATTTAATTTTTTTTTGTAATTAGAACCACATCAGACGAGATGTTGCTCGGACGACGGCCAGCTGTTGGAACTGGCTAATATCCCGGAACATTGCTTCCCGATAATGGTGCCAACAGACGACCCCATCCACTCCCCCAATAATATCAGGTGTATGAATTTTGTCAGGACTATCACGGATCGGGACCGTAGCTGTGTTGGGGGGTCTCAACCCGCAGAACAGGTAGGCTGATAGAAAATGTAGGCATAAAATAACGTCCTGGTATAGTCGTTACGATATCAGTTGGAACCGCATAAAAACATTTAACTCATAAACTCCAGAAAAATGTTGTGTCGTCTAGAATTACTATATTCCGAGCTATATTCCTATTTAGTTGACGATATTTTCGATTTTTTTGTAAATAAGCTTCCCGAAGTCCAACTATACGTCGTGATTCCACAATTACCATACGATTGTCAAGTTTTTTTATGTTTAAAACCGCATTGTAATAAAACATGTCGTAAAGTATCTAAAGATTTATAATGATAATCAGGATTATCGCTTCATTTATCTCGAATCATGTTTAAAGTAGGAACTTTATACATATAAATTATGCGCCGTATTACATCTCCTGTAAAATCGTCAATATTCTTTAATTTTGTATTTTTTCGTTGTACCGTGATTAATAACGAGTCCTTATTTAATTAGTTAATTCGCTAATCCGTTTCCTATTTTCTTTATCACATTGTTCAATATTTTCTCTTTTCAAACATTCATATACAATATTTAAAATAATATGTTGACTTGGTACGTGTAAATCTTTGTTTTGTAAAAAAGTTTGTTTCGACGCTTTGGACAAAAACAGGCTCGATTATTTGGGGATTTTCCCAGGTTATTTCGTTATTTTCCGTTTCAAAGGGTCTCCAGAAAGCCATGCTGAATTACTAGATAATTACATATAATATTTATTTTAATAACTATTACCCTTTACTGGTTACGATATGAACAAATATAAACTATTAATTAAGAATACGTATAAATATACCACACCAAACACTACTCTCCATGGCACTGACAAAGCCCAAGTGAACCGCGTTTGACACCAAACTAATTATAGAATACCATGCAAGAAATTATTTACGACCTAGTGGACCAATACAGGTTTGCTTTGACGACCGCGCGCCATTATTCTATGGCTAGAAATTGGCCTCAATGATTTGGGATCGAGGGGGATTATCCCTCTTTATCCTGCCTCATCTCGTGTAGGCCTGGACAGCGTCGTCTACCCCGACCGCAAATGCGGCCGGTGTAGGCGCTTTGTGGGACCTCCTTTTGTCCTGGCTGGGCCCCGCCGGCTAGGGCCCTTTCTTCTGGCGCTCTTCTTGCTTCGCCGGCTCGTCTGTGTAAACCCCGGGGGTAGTGTCATGTTTATGTGTGGTATGGTTGGGTAGGGTAGTGCGGCTATGCAGCCTGGGATGCGCTTTGCTAAGGTGGCCCTTAGGCTAGCGCGGGAGGGGAGGGTTAAGGAGGGTATGGGGGGTGTGTATGTGTGTGTGTGTGTGTCGTTGTCTTCGTTTCTTGATCCTGGCTGTCTCTGAAACAGAAAAGGTTAGCGGGCAGGGGGGGGTCATTGGGGTGGTCACCCAGGGTCAAAAAGTTGGTGTCTAGGTCTTTTGTGTTTGTCGGTCACGTCGGGTACGTAGTCAACGGCTTGCCTGAGGAGGGGATTGTCATGTCTAGCGGCTACGTCAAATCGTTTCTCCGCGTTTTGTCTTATTGTCTGTGTAGCGTTTGTGTATTGTAAGTCTCGTAATATGTCAGTGTTTCTTACGTACCAGGGCGCGTCGGTGGCCGTGCGGAGGGCTATGTTTTCCACAGCCTGTAATGACTTTAAGTGGCTTTTTGCCGCGTGACCCCACGCCGTGGAGGCGTAGGTTAGCTGCGGTTGAAGTACCACCTTGATAAGCGTTCGCTTATTCCTTAAACTGAGGGTGTTTCCACCTTTGAGTAAGGGATAGAGCCTAGCCCTGGTGGTCTTCGCTCGCGCCACCGTCTCCACGATGTGCGGTTTCCACGTGAGACGCTGGTCCATCGTCACGCCCAGGTATCGTGTTTGTCGATTCCAGGAGATGGGTTCCTGGGATAGTGTCAGTCTGTCAAGGTTTTGTGGGATTTTTCGTTTGGTAAAAAGGATAGCCGAACTTTTGTTGGGATTAATTTTGACTTTCCACCTGTTGCACCAGGTTTCAAGTTGGTCTAAGGAGCTTTGGAGGAGGTAGACGGAATATCTAGGATCTACGGATTGGGATGTGATTGTCAGGTCGTCGGCGTATAAGTATATGTTGGTGTTGGGGGGATGTGGGATGTCGGAGTTGTAAATGGTGTATAGGTGTGGGGACAGGACGGTGCCCTGGGGGACACCGGCCTCCATGGGACGGGTGGTGGAAAGGGAATCTTGGATTTGGATGCGGAATTTTCGGTGGTGTAGGTAGGATTTTATGAGTTTGGTAAAGGATATGGGATATTGGTTGGTGAGCATTTTCATCAGTAGGCCTTCATGCCAAACCGTATCGAAGGCCTTTGCGACGTCCAGGAAGACAGCACCATTGTACTGTCCCCTGTTGAAGGCCGCCGTGATGTGCTCGGTAAGGCGAAGGATTTGGAGTTCAGTGGAGTGATTGGGTCGGAAGGCGAACTGCTCGTCTGGAATGACTTGCAGTTCTTGGGAGTGGGTTCTTAGACGGGTTAGGATAATTTTTTCTACCACTTTGCTCATAGCCGGGAGCAGGCTAATGGGCCGGTAGTTGGATGGGATGGTGTGATCTTTGTTGGGTTTTGGGATAAGGATTATGTTTGCTGTTTTCCAGCGGGTAGGGAAGTGTCTTAGTCTGAGTGTCGCGTTTGTTATGTTTAGTAGGGCCATGAGGCCCTTGTGTGGTAGTCGTTTAAGTGTCGTGTTATGTATATTGTCGGGTCCGGGGGCTTTTCTGTTTTTAAGTCTGCGTATTATCAGTCTTAGTTCGTCAGGTGTTGCGGGGGGGATTATGTCATTGTCTGGCTCTCTGTCGACGCGTCGGGCCGCGCGCTCAGCCACTAACTCGAATTCCTCGTCTTCGTCGGGCAGCTGAGGCAGTCTACACTGCAGTTCCAGGCTATCGGCGAAAGCCTCGGCCTTTTCCTGGTTCGTGTAAACCACCCCCACGCTACCGTGGATTGGAGGAATTTTACGGCGAGCGGTCTGTCGCAGGGCCCTCTGCGTTTTCCAGAGGCTGTTGTCTTGTGGATCCAGCGACTCCAGGTGCCTAGCCCAGTTATCCTGGGCCAGTTCATCCAGAGCCGCCTTCACCCGTCTGTTAAGTACGTTTAAGTCATGTCTGTGTCGGGGGGGGGCGGGTGCGGGTGGCAAGCCGTTTCGCACGTCGTCTGTCACGTATTAAGTTTTTTATGTCATCGGGGAGGGTGCCCCGGGGGTTTGTCAGTCGGGGGACAATAGTCTCCGTCGTAGTCTGAGTCAGGGCGTTTTTAATGTCAGTCTCAAGGGAGAGGATTGCCGCCTCCAGATCATGGGTGGTTTCGATGACTGGGAGCGCCATGTTTCCTTGCATTACTGTTCGGAAACGCTCCCAGTCAGTGAACCTCCTTCTTTGACGACCAGCGCGCCGCCGCGCGCCGTCGATCCTACATCAGGCGGACTGGTCTACCAATACCGGACTCGCCGAATGACTATTCGAGTATAAATTACGAGACACATCGTGGCTAAAGCATAGGAAGAAATTTCAAGAGAAGTGCGGACGGTCCTGTGCTTTAAGATTCCCAGGTTCCAATTAATATCGTAACAACTATAGTATAGTATGTCACTGATATGTATGGAAACGGTCGATTATTTCCTAAAGTAAGGTAGCTATCGAAAAATTATAAGTTACAAACGTTTTAGGTTTTTTTAAAAATCTATTACAATAAAGAAAAATAAAGTATACATGATAAGTCAAAAAGCCTTGATGAAACAAAAGTTGCTGTTTCTTTAATGGAACACCCTGAATATTATTCCATATTTCAATTCTTCTCCAAATTCTAAACAAAATTCATATTACTTTAGGAGATAATCGACCGTTTCCATACATATGAGCGACCCTGTATAATATACAGGGTGTTTCATAATGATGTGCAAATATTTTAAGGAGGTGGGAGGTGGTTCAATACATTTTTTCGATTTGAGCCCCCTCCTGATAAATATTCGAATCTCAAAATGACCGAAAAAATTAGCCTTTTTTTTTGGCGAAAACGGTGAAACTTAGAAATTTGAATTTTATTACAAGTTAATAACAATATAATTAGTATAATAGTTACTAAAAACGTTATACTTATTGTAAGGAAAAATAAATTATTTTTTTGCTCGTAAACTATTAAGTACACGAAAAAATGAGAAGAGTGAAAAAAGTTTCTAAATGAAATGTAGTATTTAAAAGATATTTCTTGTTGGAATTAGCTAGCGTAGAAAAAAGTTCCGAGATAAATAAAACCAAGGGATGCTAATTACTTTCATTCAAAGACATAAACCAGAAAAAAAGACTACCAAAAGATATAATTCAATTAGTACTCAAAATAGTAACCCTTAAGTTTATGATAAACTGTTTTTTAGTTGACTGTGGTTAACCATTTCCTGGATCTATCCCTCGTCTATGGTAATACGGCAGAAGTAAATCAACAGTTAAGGCAATTTCAAGGGGGATACCTCAGGGTTGATATAAGGCAGAATCAACAGTGGCCACCCCGTTCGAACAATGCTTCCGGAATTTGTAACCTTCAGAGGGCGCAGGACGCATGTTACCAAACTGGTAAGATATTTGACTACAGAACGTCGTAAAAAGAGATTGACTGACGCAAAAAATTGGAAAAAACTGAACAGATGAAGAAATTCGAAATAAAATTATTTTTTGGGATATTTTAATGAATAAATCTCTAAACGGCTGTGGCGAGCTGCTTCAAATGCAGCTATTTCTCGGATTTTTGGCGGTATTCAAAGCGAACCCGATCGAGCTTCGGCTTATTCCGGATTTTTCCGGCTTATTCCAGTATCTCTTCCGTCCATTCGATGGTTACTGTAGTATTAGTATAGTTTGGGTTTCCGCTGGACATTAGTTATTCGACTGAACTATTAAAATAATAAAAGTAATAATGATTTTATATTCACTACACCGAATTTTGATAAAAAAAAATTGATTTAGTTGTCTGTTCCTGTTAAAATTTCGGTGGTTCTGCAACTCTGTAGTATTCATGAAGGAGCTGCTTCTGCAGGATAACCTATGAAAAAATATATATTCTCCTTTCAGGCGATGCCCGAGCGAACCAAAATCCTCAACTGACTCTCCTCCAGATTGTCTTCCTTAGGGAACACAACCGACTGGCCGGGATACTGGGCCAGCTGAATCCCCACTGGGACGACGAAACCATCTTCCAAGAGGCCAGGAAGATCAACATCGCTCAGCACCAGCAGATCACTTATTACGAATGGCTGCCTATTTTCCTCGGAGAAGACAACTTGGTGCAATCAGGAATCATCTGGCACACCAATGGATACGTCAACGATTACGACGACACCGTCGATCCCACAGTCTTGAACGAACACGCCACGGCTGCCTTCAGATATTTCCACACACTCATCATTGGAAATTTGCAGTGAGTAAAAACTACGGTATACAGAAGCGTGATCGCTTTTGTTTTGATGGAATCAAGTTCTGCGACATTCAGGCCATATTTTTGACAGTACCCAAAGCACGAAACTTGAAACGGAACGAAAACTTCGTGAAAAAATTGCAATCTTATAAATGTATACTTTGCAAAAGCCAATTCATTATAGTATTATTCAAGTAATCCAAATGCTTTTGGCGAATGCTCCGCCACATTAGGTATAGTTGAATTTTTTAAAATTATTTAGGTGTAAACAAACAAATGTACTTTTAAAAAGATGGCGGATTGATGTTACAGGAGGATTAGTCCATTTTGCTTCTATATTATTCAGTGACTACGATTATTTTACATATTCCAAAGAAGTAAACAAACTGGATATATCTTTAGAAAAGTATGTTAAAATAGTAATAAATAAAACAATTTCAATAACACATTCAAGGATTTGCGCCAACTCTTTCATTAATTAAATCGTTGCTACACATTTTAATTTAATTCAAAACTACATAAACCGCAGCAAAATTAAACTGCGAATACGCACAAAACGAAAACTGTTATATCGAATAACACTCACAAAATGAAAACTATTATACCACGTGCTGTCCGATTCTGTATCCATCGATGATCGTCCTTTGGTGGTGATTGCCTTCGATCCGTTTCCACCAATAATTTCGCAGTTACGCATGTGTCATGCTTGATCATTGTTTACTTCATTGGAATATGTAAACTGAGCATTCAGAAATTGGTTGTTCGAAACATATAAAGAAGAGATAAATGAAACATATATTTTTTTAGTCTGATTACTGAAGGCAGAGGTACAAGAGGAACCTTACGCCTCAGCGATTGGTTAAACAGGCCTCAGATCCTGGAAGAAGGCGACAATTTCGACGACTTAGCACGCGGTCTCAACACCCAATGTCAACACGCTGCTGATCAGTTCCACGACAGCGAGGTAAGAAAAAAATATAGATAAAGAAGAATAAATAGTAAAAGTTTATCAAAGTTAAGCAAATGTATCTCTAACATAATATATTTAATACCAGAAAGTACAGTTGTTACGATCTCAATTGGAATTGCATAAAAACATAAAACTCATAAATTCTACGGAATCCATAGACGTCCAGAAAAATTTAGCCCTGTCTGGTCTAGATATATATTATATTCTGAGCTATATTACCATATAATTACCATATGATTGTCAAGTTTTTCATGTTTAAAATTGCATTGTAATAAAGCATGTCGTAAAATATCTAAAGATTTATAATTATAATCAGGATAATCGCTTAATTTATCTCGAATTATGTTTAAAGTAGGAACTTTATTTTCTTTATACATATTATAAATTGTGCGCCGCATTACATCTAGTAAAATCGTCAATTTTCTTTAATTTTATATTTTTCCGTTTCCTCTTTGTACTGTGATCAATCCTTCTGTAATTACGCGATAAATTGTCGCTTTTGATATCTTAGTTAATCCGTTAATACGTTTGCTAACTTTTTATCACATTGTTCACTATTTTCAATTTTCAAACATTCATATATATTTAATATAATACGTTGACTTTTCGACCGGTTCCACTATTTGGGGATTTTCCCGAGTTATTTCATTATCCTCCGCTTCAGTCTCCAGAGAGCCACGCTAAATTACTAGATAATTACATATAACATTTATTTTAATAACTATTTTACTGGTAACTAATAAATAATAATACGTATTATATCAACAACATACCCCGCCAAGCAATACTCTGCACTGCACTGGCAAAGCTAAGTGAACCCGTGTACCATACAAAAAAATATTTACGACCTAGTGGACCAATACAGGTTTGCTTGGATGACCAGCGCGCCACCGTCAATCTACATCAGGCAGACTAGTTTACCAATACCGGACTCGCCGAATTGTTATTCGAGTATAAATTACGAGACACATCATGGTCAAAGCATAAGAAGAAATTTCAGGAGAAGTGCATACGGTCATGTGCTTTAAGATATACAGGTTCCAATTGACATCGTAACAACTATAACATGTAGTTGAAAAAACTATGGAACCCATTGGCAAACAATGAAAAGTTTCAACATTAATAGAAATAGGTACATTGAGTAAAATTGTATTATATTGTTTCAGATTACGCATTTCCTGTTTAGAGCTCAGCAACAATTTGGCTCCGATTTGAAAGCACTGGACGTTCAGAGGAACAGGGACCATGGTCTAGCTTCCTATAACGATTATAGAGAGTACTGTGGCCTACCAAGAGCCACATACTTCAATGACTTCTTAGACGTTATTAATTCTGATGTAAGTAAACGTGATTTTTTATACGTAAGGCATCTGCACCAATCAAGGTTGCACTAAGCATTGTGACCTTTGTTTTTCTTTTTGTCGCACAATGAATGCTTCCCGAACATTGCAACCCTTACTGAAGGTTTTTGCACCGCCCTCTAACACATACAACCACCGATTGTTTAGATTTCCTTCAATTATCGCAGCTCCTTGAATCATTAAAGAGGGTTTATTTGGAAATGGGGTTTTAATTTTAACAATATATCAAAACGAAATAGTAATATTAAGTAATATAGGATGTTTACAAATTTGGGGAGGATATTTGAAGAGCAAATAAAATGAGGTACTAAAAGTGGATTACTTACACAATAATATGAGGAAACATTTTTGGAACCGCTGACTCAGCCGATACTCGATTGGTAAAGTTAAAGATAGGAATTCGAGAAACAGATGACTTCACTTAAACATTTGTTCACTAATATATTTGCTTGAAACTTTAAACAATAAAAGACATGTATGCATAATGAAAACTAAAGTTGAACTGATAATAACACTTTGAACTAGCAGTTTTTCTGTTTACTACAAAAAACGGTACGCGAACGACGCTATTTACTGCCACTACTATTCACCTATATAGTGTGTAAGTCGAGAACCACTACAGAGGTTGTCAATCACTTTTAGCAATTATTAGTGCATTCTGTACGTTGATGAAATGTGAGATACTGAGTTTTAAGAGATGCCTATTAAGGCTACTTAGCCATATTTTAAAAAAAAATCCCTAAAGCGATTTAAAGAACTTTCACGTATTTTTAAATTTTCAGAAACATGTTCAGAAGTTTCAAAAATTGCTTTAGTTTTCTCTAAAAATTGTTTTACATTGACAATTTATTCATGAATAAATTGACGAAGTTCTTCATGAATTAATTCACGAATTTATTGGTAAACATTGTGGTTTTACACTGCTACAGACTTTGTCAAGTTTTTTGACGTATGAATCAGTTCTACCAATGAATCAAAGAAGCAAATAAATTTTAAAAATGTCACCTTTCCACTCATAATTGTAGTGATACAACAGCGGTACCGTTCTGACACATATTATATAAATATTAGTTTTTGTAAGTAACAAATCAGTAAAAACAATGCAAAACTAGCACGACGCCACACAATTACTTACATATTCCAATAACAAAACCTCATGACTGATCTGAGGCTGGAAATCTGTTGGGTTGGTACTTCTGAACTTCACGAAGAAATTGACGAAAATTAGAACATGCTCTAATTCGTCAAGAACTTGATGAATAAATTCATGTAGTTATTTGACAGCAGATTTGGTGCATTACACTTGTCCAATTTCTTGATGAAGCGACTTCATGAATTAATTGATCAATAAATTGTCAATGTAAAACAACAATAATACCTTTAAAATGACGTAAAAAACGAACGAATTTTTTAAAATATTATTTAATACTTTTTATATTCTTTTATACGATGATTAAATACCGTTATTATTTCATATCTACTTAGAGCCGTTTTTTTCAATTATCGAGTAAATTTAATAGTCGGTTAAATCGATATCTGTCAATTTCTTATAGGTTCTTAAATGTTTTTTATGAAACAGATATTGATTTAACAGGTAAATATATTATTTATTATGAGGTAGAGAAAAACCTAATATTAAACAAACCTAAAATCTGTGTCTAAAATCTGTGAATCTAATTCTATTAAATTTATCAGCATTTAAAGCTACTTATAAAAAAAAAAACAAATCTGCGGTCACAACTATTTATCTTCTTTTATTAAAATAGATAATAATCGTGATCGTGATCAACATGTAATTTAAAAATGCTAAAATTGTTAATCTGAAGAAATGATTATATTATAGATACATTATCCATGACGCAGTGGCGTGTCGGATATGCATCGGGAATTTACGTGATAATTCACGAAAATTCCACGGTACATACATTTTTAAGCGTTATAAAATATTTAGAAAATCAGAAATTGTATACTACATATTTATTGAATGAAGTTCGGTTAAAAATAGTGTCATTCTTTTAATAGGAAATTAGGAGTCAATGTAACGAATACCCTCAGGCGACGCACATGATAGAATAGTCCAACTCACGCTCCATTCATAACAGGGCTGCAGTTTGAATTCTGACCAATAGGAATTCGAAAAACGCAACCGATGTCGACGGATAGACTAGAGATGGGCGCGAGTGTCATTTCATTTCTTTAGAACTAAATTAACTGAATTATTTTCTCGTTATTTAACCTGTTCACATGATTTATGGATTTTAAATAAAGAGTACAAATCTTCGCGAGGATAATACGATATATTTGCTATACATAATAATTATATTTTGCATAGTTTATACACAATACATTTTTGAACGCGTACACATCTCTACCAAAATTTGACCTATTCTTCGGGTTAAAGACACACATTGTCCGCTCTCTATTTATTACTTTGCGTCGAATATGATCGTACTATAGATTCATTACTATTTCGTGATCTTTCCCTAATTATCTAGATAGTTTATTCGCTATATGAGAACTGAGAGTGGCAAAGAATTATAAGTATTATAAATTATAGTTTCGGAACCACTTTGTAATATGTTACTCGTATGATACGTCTGCGTTTACTGATGTTGTACAGGGTGTTTCAGGGTTTAATCGGAAAAATAAATTTAGAAAAATAGGCGATAGAACTTGCAAAAATAAAAGGTCATATGAACTTGATGTTTTAAAGCTTCATTTTTGAGATTGAGAGGGTGGTAAAGTTGTCAAAAAAATTTTTTCAGCTTTCGCAAAAACTACTTGTCCGATTTTGATAAGATTTTAGTAATGAATAAGGGCTTAATTTGATGCGAGCCACTGCTTTTTTATTATAAGTGACATTATTTTTAAATTGAGTAAGTAAAAATACAATTTTTTGGCATTTTTTATTAGGTACTTAATTTTATTAATGAAATTAAGTCTACTTTTCCAGGGACGAGCGGCTAAACGAATTTTATTTATTTTTTCTCAAAAAGTAAACAAAAAATATAAGACAAAAAAAACTCACAATCAATTTAAAAATAATATCAAACTTCAATGATTTCCCTTGATTACAATTTCCATTACAGAACGTCCAAAGACTAGCCGCTCTCTACGAGTGCCCCGACGACGTAGACTTGACAGTTGGAGGGTCGCTAGAACAGCACGTACCTGGCACGTTAGTGGGCCCGACGTTCCTCTGCATCCTGAGGGAACAGTTCTATAGGACTCGCGTCGGGGACAGGTATTGGTACGAGAACCCCTCCGAGACGGGATTCACCCTGGAGCAACTCTTCGAGATACGCAAATCCAGCATTTCGAGGCTGCTGTGCAACAACGGCCGTAACATACGGTCGATGCAACCTCGTGGATTCGAAAAAGTGTCAGCCGAGTAAGTTTTCAGCATAGTCCGTATTTACTTGATTTAAATTAATTCAAATTTCATTATCGTTTGGCTGATTTGACAGACCGGTACTACAAAACTGACGTGATCGAACTGATTACGACTGAAGAGGTCTGTTTATTTTTACATCACTGCGATGTTCATTTGTTTCATCTAATACAAAACTTTGGTACTTATCAAAATTTTCTCTGACTCCAAATATAGCGGCTGTAGGTGTATAGGGAAACGGGAAACATACTGTAAAAGTTAAAGTTGAATGTCCGAAATCTGTGCAGTAAGATGGATCATGATGCGGTTTTTTGCATTCGATTTGTTGGAGCGTCCAGAAAGTTGGTGACCCTATGTGATCAATGAGAAATTAAAATTGCATCGGTGCATAAGAAAAATGCATCTTTAAAATTGCATCTCGAAGAGTTAAAATATGAAAAATTTATAACTCGGAAAATATTGACGGAAATGAGTTCAATTTTGCTACTCGAGGGTTTTTGGGGTCGCTGAACACGAATATCACGACGGCAACAGTCTTCGAGGTACCTAGTGCCCAGGGTGGCCGGTTTCCACGTCGTCTCCTGGAGTTTGTGGAAATTCGTGATAAACTTAGCCGAAACTGGTTGGTTACCTTGGGGTTTCTGAGGTTGCTGAACACGAATATCACGACGGCAACAGTCTCCCAAGTACCTAGTGCCCAGGACCGTTACCGTCGTGGTATTCGTGTTGCGCGACCTCAAAAACCCCGAAGTAACGAGTTTCGGCTAAATTTATAAGGAATTTCCACAAAACTCCAGGAGGCGACGTGGAAACCGGCCACCCTGGGCACAAGGTACCTCGGAGACCGTTGCCGTCGTGATATTCGTGTTCAGCGACCCCAAAAACCCCCGAGTAGCAAAATTGAACTCATTTCCGTCAATATTTTAGTTATAAATTTTTCATTTTTCAACTATCCGAGATGCAATTTTAAAAATGCATTTTTCTTATGCACCAATGCAATTTTCATTTCTCACTGATCACATACTTTCTGGACGGTCTAACGAATCGAATGCAAAAAGCTGCATCACAATCCATCTTACTGCACAGATTTCGGAGGTAAGGCCGTTTTTGGTGCTTTATTTCCTCGACTATTAGCAGTTGAATTGACATCATAAAACATTTTTTTTTTTTCAGTAACAACATTGTTCCATGTGAACAGCTACCAGATTTGGACTTGTCGTTATGGAAAGATACACCGGGCAGTTTTGGCAGCATACCCACCAATTTGTATTTCAAAAAATAGTGTTGTTAATTTAATTTTTCGTAATGAATAACTTACGGTGCCAGATAGAAAACTGGTGCGGACGCTAGAGTGAAGCATAACTGTAAATTTGTAGTCCGTTAGCTAGTTCAACTAATTTTTTTAACTTTTTTATATGAAATTTATTATTTAATTATTTATACATATATACGTAAATAGATTAAAACAGAGAAAGAGTTTCCATGTTGTAAGTTATGAAAGAAAAGGTATATACAGGCTGTATTGGCGATATTACAACTCATTTTAAGGGTTTGTTCATCAAAATAAATGAAAAAAATAAGAGTACTTACCTACTTAAAAATTAAAATTTGTCATATCACCGCAACGCCCTGTATATAAGTATTTATTATTATTATTAATGAAATGTATCTGTCAAGCTTATCTCAGGAAAAACAATATCGTCGTGGAAATGAATTTGATAAGTTAGTTGTGCACTGATATTAAGAGAAATTGTTTTAAACCAAAGAAATATTTTAGTTCAGGTCATATCGTATTATTTGCTTGTAGAAGAAAAATTTTTTTTTGGTAAATTCCGTTTTGTAGTAAATTATAAATACATACTTAGATCTTTAGTTTATTAGAATGTAGCATTTAACTTTACCTACAAGGTATTTTTATTACACAATAAAAATATGTAAATTGAAGTAAATGTGTTTTTACTTCCTTGATTTAATTTTTTGAACAAACTTCTTCAAATGGATAGTGGCGAAAACGAAATTGAAATTCTATAAAATTTAACCAAAAATGCAATAAAAATGATTGGCTAAACTTTCGGGGCAGATTTCACTAATTGTAAGACTAATTTTCGAAATAAAAGATATTCTAAACTTAACGAAAATATAGTAGCCCTTACAAAAAAGAAACATTTGAGGCCTTGTCAACAATATCGCTCATCATTGATTTCATAAGCAACATTATCCTGTATATCCAGTTATTTTATTATCTATTTCATTCAAGATCATTGTTATTATCATTATTTCAAACATTTGATATAGGTACCTACTATAATTATGCCACGACACATTTAGCAATAATTGCTAGATGACATGAAAACAATTTAGTTACCTATACCCCGTTATACTTATATCTATACGCATTTTGCACTTACCGCTAGATTTCATGTTTTGTATCTTATGCGATCTCTGCACCAGGTTCTGTTCAGGTTATCGGAATCGGCTTTCATCTTTGATAGAAATATTTCAATTTTCAAGTTCATTACGCCACATAAATCACGCATTACACTAAAATGTAATAAACCACAGCCACAGGCCGTATTTCATCAATAAATAAATAATACATTTACAATTTACACAACACAAACACGACATAACATGCAATACGACCGACACGACAACCTACCGAACACAATCGAAAAATTTTGAGGTTAGGGAACTGAGTTTGCAGAAAAGTTTTCAAATGTTTGAAGTTTGAAGCCTACTTTAGGCCATCGCCTGCTACACACACCACATCCCTGTATTACAAAGCAGACGTGATCTAGCTGATTAGTGATTATATCAAAGCCATGTGTGCATGTGCAACTTTGCAGAAAGGTGAATTTTTCAATTATTCACTCGTTTGAATTGAGGCCTTTACTTCGCCAACAACTCGTGCCGCAATTTCTTTAAATTCATGAGAAATTGACACTATTGACAGTTTTCTGCAGTTCAAATAGATAAGTACTATTTTCTTAGTTGAACTGATTCGATTATTGGAGTTTGATATTTGCGTACGCAGTCAGTGGCGCCACTAAGAAATTTTAAATAATTTAACCACATTAAATAAATTTATCAGCATCATTCAATTGCAGACGAAAAGCAGATCTTACTTACATCGTTAACATGGCTTCTGTAGTGGTTTCCCCCAAATATGTACGTTTATCAGTGAAAAGTGCAACATATTTTACTTTGTCGGCACCTTATTTTATTATTTTTCCTGTCACTTCATCTACAATTATCAATTTCTTTTTGTTTAAATATATTACTCTGTTTTTGCAATGTATGTGACCATATATTCAATTTCTTCACTTGGCTACAAATATTTCTGCCAAAATAATTGAAATTATTCATTATCAGCCTCTTATACCTAACGGTACATAAAAATTAAATTATAAAAAAAGACAGTACAAGTTTTAGTTATTAATTTGGAAAGCATAATCGAATCTAAGATTTATTAGATGTAATGGCCCGTATAACTGCCTAAAAGACACTAAACGAAACACATGTTTCATTTTTCTTGGAATTAAATGCCAAAATGAAGTTTTTAATTTGGGTACGATGATATTACGACAAAAAAAAAGATAAGAACAAAAATATGTATTTTTTGTTTCTTATATAAACTTTCGAGCAAGTAAATGTAAAGAATCGTAGCGCCTAAAAATATAAAACAATTCGTAGAAACATATTTCAAAAGCAAAAGTGAAAAACGCTTAGCGCATTGATATATCAAAATTGTGTACGCGCATTTTGCAATAATACACACATTTCTGAAAAACAGTTTATTTGTTTATAACATAGTTTCAGTCATTGGTTACACTTGTAGTCAGACTACAAATCAGCGATTAAACAAACAGGTAATAAATAAATACATTAGGTAAGGATTAGTTAAAAAAAAATTACCAAAAAACATCAACGGTAATGAAACTCTCACTTAAAAAGTGATTAAATTATCGGTGCTGTTATCTACCTTCTCTCTCTGTTCATGTTTCCAAAAGTTGAAGTCTTTCAATATGGGCCTTCCATACGAATTGTGTAGTTCTCGAAATGTAATACTCACCTTTGCCGATGCGTTATTTTCGACAAGTCGAGTATCCTCCAATCGACCTCCACAAGAAAAACAGAAATTTAACAAGAGAAAATAGAACAAGAAAACATATCATTGCCTACAAAAGTTTTGCTGTAATCCACTTTTTTATCACCAATAAGCTTAATTCAAGTGAAAAATAAAGCGTATAAAAGCATAAGTAAAACATGATTTAGATAAACAACCGATTATTTGATAAAAATGTTGGTAGGTACTTCCCCCAATCGATGTCATTGATGCATATTTTTATCTAGTACTTCCCAACCGTTTTGAATGGTATTACAAATTTACAATTTAATTATATAATATTCATATATTTACATTTTTTACCAAAATGATCCGCCAAACAGTATTTCTTCACACTAGGAAAGAAGACAATCGTCTTTAAACACTAGTCGTACTTACTTGAATTAGAACTTGTCGACCTCATGCTGTGCGATCTTTGGTGTGGGTTGTTATCGGGCTTGTTGAAAGGGTTATGCCTTGTCCTAGGCGGAGGAACTGGAGAATTTACACCTTGTGCCAGGGGCAGTGGTAGCGGTGTTTCTAGAGATATGAAAAATTTACTTTGGCCAACTTCATATTCGTTATCATCAGATGTCATATTCGTCAATATTTTTAGGCACACATTGAATTCATTGATCTCACATCATCTATCAGTGTCACAATTTTTAGGAGAGCAATGTTTACACATGATTTCTCATCAATAAGAACAATTATCATTAAACAAATTATAGATTACTACCTACTCCTTATCTTACTACAGATATCATGCACTTGTTTTTGTTTAAATATTGGGTAAATATTCATTTTATTGTACCTTCGATATCATCTAACTGCCGCTGCAGTTCAGCAACCATCAGTTTCATATAATCGTATCCCGCACAAGCTAAAGCTTTCATCCACTGTTCCATAGACTCTTGTGACTCTGCTCCAAGTATATAACTTCTATTGTTTGTCCCATGAAATTCGACTTTAAAGCTGAACTGCTCATCATCCTCAGCTAGTTCTATATATTAAATGATCAGTATGTACCCCAATAAATTAATGTAACTTACCTATCGAACAACCTTCTAAAATTATTACCCCCACAGGTTCTTTATCACCTTTCTTATCGAAATAAAACAGTAAATTTCCTTTTAACACAAAATATCGCCTCTGGAAGTTTTTGTTTACTTCTCCCCTTTTATTTAAATAACCTTCCTTATCTACGGGTGTGGCAGACACTGCGAAAGCACACAAGTTTTTCTCGTTTATTTTCATTTTGAGAATAGTTGACGCTTAAATAGTGTGATAAAATGACATAATAATATATTAAATAATTATGTACTTTTATTATTGATGTCAAAAATATCAACACAAACGTCAAAATTGTCAAAATCAGAAAATCGGATCAGCTGTGTCGCATGGCTCCATCTATTGGATTGAAAATAAACTATGTAGGTCTTTAGCACAGACCACCTAGACTGGCCGTATCTAATTCCAATGCACGGGTAGCAGTGAATGCAAAATCCGGGGAAGTGTAGTGTGGAAGGCAATCTGATCGCGCGCACCTTTAAGCAGATCCGGATTAAGTAATATTTTTATTACATATTAAATATTATATTGCATCTTATGGCAAATATTCAATTTTAAGTTTGTAATTCAGAAAATAGTATATTTTAGTGTCATATTAAATAAAACTACAAAATAATTTAAATATATTTATTTTCCTCTAAATAATAAGCATAATACTGTAATCAACTGCATCCAAAATATATGGAGATGGAGTGTGTACTGTATATGAGAACGGTCAGGTAGTAGGTAAGGTTTTGATGTCTGCCAAGATATTATCCACGGAGAAAACGTCTGCCGAGGTAAATATAAGCTTTTAATAGTACAATAAACAACATATCAAAAGATCAGATATAATAAAATACTTTTAAAAATTATAATTTTTATCAATGTTTAAATTGTCTGCCATGACCTAGGAAGCTCGATATTCGTCTGCCATTGTTATTTTTAATTAAAAATAAATATATATTTTCAAATTTTCAAACGGCAGCCTTTATAAAATACTTTTAAAATTGGTGAAATTTTTATACCTGGCACACCTGAGTGTAACGAAGGTCCACCTTGCTGGGCTTAGCGAGACCCCGCCTTGTGAGTGACACATATAAGAGACTCTCTGGGCAAAATTTCAGGTTTTATAATTTACCTTTAGGTTGCCGACCACTGGCTCTTAGACTATTTTCCAGGGTATTGAACATGAATTAGAAATATTAGTTTTGTTTGCAATTTTTTCAATTGAAAAAAATATTTTATTAATTTTCAGCTACATCGAAATGACGGGAATTGGTAAAATTTCATAAAAACTTGAGTCTCACATAAAGTAAATAATTACTAAAAATATTTTACAGTAATTCATTCACTATTTTAATTACAATATCACGTTAATCACTACACTATGTGGGCAAACAAAATTATAAAGCTAATCTTGGAAACTTGTGACGTTAACCGAAAAATGGCGTACATATTTACCTTTTACATATTCCTTTTTTTTACTTACTTAAAGAAGGAAACTTTTCGCTTCTCTTCACCAACTCGATCACATGTATTTATACAATGTTTTACAATACACTTGCACATGATAAAACGTCTAATTATCGAAATCACAGCGATGCGTACACGTCAAATGCTAGGAGACGACTGAGCGCTGGGCACCAAATCAGGCTCCGAAGTGTTTTCACCAAAGTCGCTCTATAAGCCAGTCTAGGTGGTCTGTGGTCTTTAGCTTTAGCATTTAGTTTATAATTTCGATACGGAATCCTACACATATTACCAATTCTTTTTCTCCATTGTACTGTAGGCGAAACATAATGTCTGGAACTAATTTAATTTTTATAATTTTCTCCTTATATAACAAAATATATAAAATCCAAATCCATATCACTGCGCCATCTCTCAACAAACCATACACACTAAAGTCCGTTGAGTAACTTGATTTCTAGATTAGATTGTTCAGAACAAAGTCTTATGTAAAATATTATACTGCATATTATGTGTACATAATTATTATTTTCGTATCCAGACAAATATCTAACGATAAATCCTCGCACGGCATATAGGTATCTTCTAAATCTTTTTACAAAAACGCTTATTGTAAATTCTTTTATTATCAGGAATCAGGATTAAAAATTCGACAGTTTCTTTTTTCCACTTTACGTTACTTTTACAAATATCCACCTATATAACTTATAACCCGATATAGTTTAAGATAAAAGTTTGCGAGCTCGATAGTACTTAAATGACATGATTTAACCGTAAAAAAACGGGAACAAAAACTCCAATGACACAGGAAAACTCCAAAAATGCAAATCAAAACTGAAATTGACGCAGTTTGATTTGTAATACCAATGACGTCATTCATCAGTTTATGAACGAATGGAAGTGGCGTGAGTGAATCAACAGTTAGGCAACTTCCTTCTTTAGTTCTTTAGTGACTTTGGGACATTATATGAGAACGTAGATGACACCATTTTTTTAATTAAAGTTTTTTTTATTTGATAATGTTGTTTTACATTAAACAATAGCAGAAATTTGGTATAATATGCAGGATTAAGGTAGGAGATTTTGATTTTGGTATTATTGCCAAGCATTATTCCTATACAAATGTTACAATGGAAATATAATTATATAATTTTATTTTAATTTCCAACCGCCATAGTTTTTTTATTCCCTGATACGTTTCAGTCCGAACCAAAAACCACCTTCAGCGGACATATTAAATTGCTTCTTACATATCTGAACAGGAATTCTACTTTTTTCAACTGGAACTAATTCAAAATTCTTTAGAACGTGCAAGATTAGAGTTTTTGTTTCCAGTAAAGCAAACCTAGAACCAATGCAGTTACGAGGACCCACACCAAACGGCAAGTAGGTGTAGGGTTCGATGCCGTCCTTATTCTCATCACTGAATCTCTCTGGGTCGAAACGCTCTGGATTTGGAAAATACTTGGGGTCGTGGTGTATGCCGTATATGGGTAGCATAATTAAAGAGCCTTTTTCCAGGTATACAGGTTTCTCGTCAGGTCTAGTTGGTTCTATAGTGTAAGGTTTTGTACAAACCCTGTCTGTAGCTATGGTAGAGGGCCATTTTCTTAGAGTTTCTGTAACGCCGACAGAATATATTTATAATTTCAAAAAGATAAAACGTGTCTTGCAATTTCAGTGATACCAACCTGAGATAACCATATCCATATATGTCATCTCGAGAATATCTTCATACGTGAGTTTACCTTCACATTTTTCTAGGGTAGACCTAACCTCCTCTCTTAACCTGTCCTGGATATCTGGATTGGTAGCTAATTCATAGGCCAAAAAACACAAGAGTGTCGATACACTCTCAAAACCGGCGAAAAAGAATATCATAGCTTGCGCTGCGATGTCCACATCTGTTATTTCTGTGGGTGGTTTAGTTGCTTTTGTTAAAATAAATGCTCTGAATTATTATTTTACAACAAAGTTGTATGTTTACTCTTATTATATTCTACAAATAATATTATTATGCACAGTTGTATTTATAGCACCATTCTTGTACTATGCGCTCTTTTATATCGTGTATGGTCAGTATTGTAGATATAAATACTGTTAGTGTCCATGGTGTTTCTGAAATGTGTCCCTTTAAAGATGTAATAAAGGACATGAAACCATTAAGCAATATACAGCGTGGTAAAAAAGTTCTGCATAAAATTCATATTTTTCTTAAACAATTTTTTTTTCGAAAAACGGTGAGACCCGTCGATTTTTATTTGATCCAGGGCACCTTGTTATGTGGAAAAATTTTTTTTTCGATAATCCACTTACGGCAGCGATGACATAATTTTTTTTTAAATGACAACGCATATTTTTTTCGTTCGAAATTGATGACAGTGATAATTATCTAAACAACGGTGTGAAAATTTCGATGTCTTACATAACAATTTTTTTTAGAAAAATGCACCTTAAGTTCTTGAATGCAATAATTTGCTGTTTACGGATCAAATGCCTTAGAAAAAAATTTATTCGGCAGAAAGCATTTCAGATAACTTAAGTTGCAACTGGTGTTATGTAATATTTGCGGAATTATTCATCAGATATTGTCAGGATCCTGATTAAACTGCAAAATTTAGAACCAAGTTCAACCGCACAAAATCCAAATAGTATGTAGCAAATTAAGGTCGACTTTTTGTCTTCGAGTTTGCCGATAAATTCCTAAAAAAAAAAGATCCAAAGAAATGTTTACTTGAAAGGAGTAGATTACCTGAAATATTGAAGACTAAAAATCAGTACCGATTTAACATTCTTTGGTGAAATCGTTTAATTCGAAATGGCAAAACTTAGTGAACGCGAAAGAATTGATATTTTGAGGATGATTGGTTTCGGCGATAAGTTACGAACCCATCAAGAAGCTTGCCAATTATTTAATGCAACGTACCCTGACAGACCACCAATTACGCAATCTACGGTTAGTAGGGTACTGGCAAGGTTTGAGGAAACTGGTAGTGTGAAAGATGCTCCTCGTGCGGGTCGTCCTAGAGTAGATGATGAAACTAGATTGAATATCCTGGTGGAGCTCCAGGACAACCCTCATTCTAGTACAAGGTCGATTGCATTGAACAATGATATTTCACATGTAACTGTGGTGAACTTTCTCAAAAAAGAGAAATTTCACCCCTATAAGGGTCACTTGATACATGCATTGACTGAGGACGACCCAGACCGCCGTCTCCACTTTTGTGAAGATTTAATGCATCGATGTAACGGAGACCCCGACTTCCTCAAGAACATAATTTTTTCTGACGAGGCTACTTTTTATCTTAATGGATCGGTGCATCGACATAACTGCCGGTATTGGTCTCAGGAAAACCCGCACTGGGTGCAAGAAGTAGATCATCAGCACCCCCGAAAGGTGAACGTTTGGGCGGGAATAATAGGGCGTCGTATTTTAGGCCCGTATTTTTTCGAGGAAAATTTAACTGCTGCTCGCTATTTGGATTTCCTGCGGTTCGATTTGGTCCCAAGCTTAGCAGAGTTATTCCCGAACAACGAGGATCCTGATATTCCTGAGGAAAGAATTTGGTTTCAGCAGGATGGTGCACCGCCCCATTATGGAGTGCAAGTACGGGAGTACTTGAATAACACGTTTACTGGCCGGTGGATCGGGCGACGCGGAACAATCGAGTGGCCTCCGCGTTCGCCTGATTTAACACCTCTAGACTTTTTTTTGTGGGGCTATTTGAAATCGCGTGTGTACACAAACAGACCAGGTGATTTGGAAGAACTTAAAAACCGTATTCGTTTTGAAATAAATCAAATCGACCCGGGAATGCTTGAACGAAGTGTAGACGGCGTTTACACACGCTTAGGACAATGCCAAATGGTACAGGGTGGGCAATTCGAACAATTTCGCTAGACTTACACAAACATTAGTGTAATTTTACTCGTTTGAAATGTAATTTTGTCAACTTTGTCCTTTTCGGAGCCATTAATAGTGTAAGTAGACAATTATCACTTATAAGAACTTAAGGTGCATTTTTCTAAAAAAAATTGTTATGTAAGACATCGAAATTTTCACACCGTTGTTTAGATAATTATCACTGTCATCAATTTCGAACGGAAAAAATATGCGTTGTCATTTAAAAAAAAAATTACTTAATCGCTGCCGTAAGTGGATTATCGAAAAAAAAATTTTTCCACATAACAAGGTGCCCTGGATCAAATAAAAATCGACGGGTCTCACCTTTTTTCGAAAAAAAAATTGTTTAACGAAAATATGAATTTTATGCAGAACTTTTTTACCACGTTGTATAGTGTCTAAAGTCTCATGTGAACCAGAAAATTAACCAAGAATTATTACGCGAAACTTAGGCTGACCCTGCTTCACCTCACTTAATCAACTGTTTACATTATATTAAATAGGTCACATTTAGTGTGATTATTTGCAGGTGTGGTCGTAAGTTTTTTGTTCTCGTCGTTCTGTATATGTATACTTTTGCATTTCATAGTCAGTACACTTACTTAAATCACTTTCTTTGGCAGTGTCGATCACACCATTTTCCTCCTGTTTTTGAACTCCTTTTCTCGCCTCCAATAGTAGATTGATCATGTCTGGTCGAACGATGTTTTTCTCTTCTCTCGTTTTAATTGTATCCTTCACAATTTTTTGGAAGAACGTCCTCACTTCATTCGAGAATATCTGTATGTTCAGTAACTGAAAAAATGATCAAATATGTGTAGACTTCCGTGTTAGTTGTCAGTTATCAAACAATAATCTCTTCTGGACCTCTGGCCAATGCTGTGTGTATTATCTGTATTGCCCATGGCAATCCTTGTACTAGTTTGTCTTTTATTATAAAGAATGGAAATTATTTCTACCGAGACAATGGGTTAGAAGACGTAAGAAGGGGAAAGAGGATATTGAAGACCTTATCAATCGTATATGTGCTAAGTTCTTTGAAAAGATTGAGGCATCTATTGATCAAAAACTGGATCAACTAGAACCAGAAGAATTCAGTTAGTTACAGTTTCTTTTCGGCATTTAGGAATTTAGGATTTAGGAACATTTTATGACAGTTTTCCAAGAAACTATTCTTCCGTCTTTTTATACTTACATTACAAAGCCTTGGAAATACCAGATAAGCGAAAATATTGATAAAGCTGCCTAAGTTAGTAGCTTCCTTACCCAGCAGATAGAAAGTATTGTTTGGCTGGGCCAAGGAATCTACTTGGATTCCAAAAGCGGTAGACGCTATCACGTCATTTGTGAAACGAGTAAAAATATCTTTAAATTCTACCGTCACGACGTCTTCCTTCTTTTCCAGGAAGTGCTGAACAAAGTTCTCAGCGCATTCCGATATTAGAACGAACATAGTCTTTATTTTGCTGGTGGTGAATGATGGACTGAGAATTGTTCTCATGTCACGCCACTTTTGACCTGAAAATTAATTAGAAAGTTACAGTTTTTTTGTGCTTTTGATGACGAAGGTCGTTATGGTGCATAAGAGCAATGGTTTACCTTTGAGAAAGAGCAAATTCTTAGTCCATAAGGGATCAGTGGTATCAGGAAAGATACTCTTGTGATCGGTGAAGTGGTCGAAATCCTTAACCGTTAATTGTTTTATCAAATCTGGGTCTCTGATTACCAGAGCAGGCACGAGGAACTGGTACATACCTGAATATCTACAAAAACATAATCTACAAGTTTCAAGATTTGTACATGATATTAGAGTAAAGAGTAAAGCAACATGGGTAAAATTTTCTAAAATGTTACGTTTTAAGAACCTAATGCAAAAAGTTAAAATTGATATTGGAAACAACTGACTTTTTGATTATTTTCTATTATTAAAATCTTGTGTCCGGTAATACCGTTTTTCCTGAAAACCACAAAGGTTTTTGAAATTTAACAAGAGTAAAAACCAATTTTAAATTAAATTCTGCTATGAATTAATATTACTATTTTTCAATTCGGTCAATAAAAAAAAATTCACTATAATTTTAGGCGTGTAATCCAATTGTAGGTTCTTACTGATTTTTACTATTCTATGGCATTATTCCGTATGGTCCTGGCATCGTTCAGATGGATGGACTATGTGTGTGATTTTTTTTTCTTACCTGACCCCTGGACATTGGTTGTAAACGCGTTGTACCATTCCGGCAGTAGTTTCCGTTCTTGAGAGGTTGCCCCAGTTATCACCAGCTATCCACATCGGATTCCCTTGCTTAACTCCCCTGTCTTTCCAATAATCTAATGGTTTTACCATAAAATAATAAAAGAGGAATACCGCCGCAACCAATAAGAGTATCAACATCAACATTTTGACCTGTAAATGTTAATGCCAGATTTGTAGATTGAATTTAAAACCTACGGTAATTTTTTTTATTTACTCAATTGTGCTTAAATATATTTTAAAAATATTTAAAATGAACAGTGGATTTATAATAAATTACATTTACAATAAATAGTTTATGAGAATAAAGGAATTTTTGTAGGAACAAGGGTGCCAGACCTGAACTGATCCCCTCGTCCCTTCATAATGTATAAAGAAATTATTCAATTTGTAAAACCGTAAAACCCTTAAAGGCGTACTTCATTGGTTCCCTTGACAGACAATGATTTATTACTTTGCATCGAATATGATCCTACTATACAAACGTTTCAAGTTATGATTGCGTACTTTTCTGATTTATCTACAAAGTCGAAGGTATCTAAGTTATGGTCAAATTACTCCATATTGAGAGTAACAGTACAAACGAAGACATACATCAAAATATTTGCAATTGCGTGTTTTCTTGAAACGGCCAGGTGACAATTATAAACCAAAGAAGTCAAATGTTTTGTCGAATGTATTTTATGAATAAGGTAGATACGTTTAGATTTGAAAATTTTAAAATATCGAAATATTACTTTTTCCTTTTTAGGTAGCTTTAATTTTTAGTGTTGCCGGTGGTGCATGTCGTCGTGATGTAGATGATTTAGGATCAAAGGATAATAAAAAAAATTTGCGACAAACGAAACAGTAAATGTTATATTTATTAAACAATGCATTTTTTATGTGAGTTAGTTTACCAGCGTGTATTTATGAGTATTTACTGTAGAAAATATAGATAAAAAAAACGATACGGCAAAGTTAATTTTCCGGTTTAATATGGTATTTAGGAGTCCTGAAATTTGGTTGAAAAAGTGCACATTTCCGAACGATTTCCGAATATATTATTTTAAAAAGCTATTTGGCATCTCAAGAAAACACGACCAACAAGAGAAAACTCCCTCAAAGATTAGGACTGGCCCTAATTTTTCAACAATGTTAGATTGAATTCTGGTTATATTTTAATTTGAAGATATTATGCCAACCGTCTTTTTGATAAAAATCATTAAACATGATTTAAATTGGACTCGATTCTCTTGAAATTGTTTATGAACTTAATACACTAATTACAATAAAAAATTGGTCTGGAAATACTCTTGCAATATCTTCAACAAATTCGTCAACTTGATGAAATTCTTTGATCGCGCAAAACTGTTATTTTATGGAAGGTAGGTATGTAGGTATTTGTCAATATTTAATCTAGAATAGCAAATAGATTTATTTTAGATGTAACCTTGAAGTTGTGGTCGTCACTAGCAATATTATATGTCTATAATTTTTATTACAGGTATTTTATAAGAAAACTTTAAGAATTAAAACACTTTCATAAATTTCGGATGTTTGTAAATAATAGTATATTATTCAACGAGCGTATAATGATGGGTATTATTCACGAGGTGAAGTTTACGGCCACGAGCCGCAGGCGAGTGGCCTAAATCACCGAGTGAATAATACCCATTATACGGGAGTAGAATACTATACTTTATCCACGACTACTAAATATTTTTGTTGAAGTTTTTTTTGAAATGTTTCGAAAAACATGGTATGTTAAGAAACAGATATACGACTCGCACAAATGAAGTCGCTGATGGCTCAGTGTAGATGCTCTTTCCCTTCCAACCGCGGGTCCCGGGTTCGAATCCGGTCTAGGAAAATTCACTTTTTTAATTTTTTTTTTAAATGTACAGCACTGAATTGAAAATATTTAGTGGTTTACACGATAAAATTTTAAAAACGGATTGTTTGTAGCAGAACAATATAATATTATAGCTAAATTAAGGAAGCATCTGACAGTAGTGATTAATGACTCATTAATCACTGCCGTGATTAATGGGTATTATTAAGGTCGAGCAAACAGACGTATAATGGGTACATTATACAATAGTCGTGGATAAAAT